AATTGAAATAAAGTTTTCTGGTAATTTTTCACTTACACTTTTACCACATTGATATTATTGCACCACTAAAGCTATTTGAATAGGAAACGTTTACGTTAGCTAAATATTTCAGCCAGCAGACTTATAAAAAATATATTTTTGAATTACCATAGTGTTTTCACAGGATTTTACAAATTTATTATTACCCTATCAATTTTTAACTGCTTAACTAGCCCTTGTGGGAAGGCAACATTAAGTAATTAAGCGAAAGCTCAAATATTAAGCTAGCTAAATAAAATTAAAATTTTGAAATACTACAGGATTCTGCTCGATTTTTACTAATTTTTCGCCTCTGAACGAACCCGTAGTAGCTTAGGTTAAAATTTTTTTAAACCACTATATGCTACAAAGCTGTTTTAATACATTTATCACCTTTATAATTGTTTACCACTCACACTTGATAGAACACTCACCTTCAAAAGTCATCTTACAAACGCAGCCGGTAAACTAAGAACAAGAATAAACTTAATATCAAAACTTGCTGGAACAACTTGGGGTGCTTCTGCATATACTCTTCGGACCTCTGATCTAGCTGTGGTTTTTTCAGTGGCAGAATATTGTGCACCAGTATGGCTAAATAGTGCACATACAAGCAAAATCGATGTTCAACTTAACCAAACCATGAGAATAATCACTGGAACAATAAAAAAAACGCCAGTGAGATGGCTGCCTACTCTGAGCAATATTGCTCCACCAGATCTACGCCGTACAGCAGCATTAGTAAGAGAGTACCAGAAAATTGTAGCCAATGTACAATTACCAATACATCAACATATCCCAGACATCTCAAAAGAGCACCAGCGACTGAGATCTAGATATCTTCCAATACCATCTGCCCGTAAAATTGGTAATTCCTATGATATACATAGGCGATGGACAACAAGATGGATGCCAATAGTAGAATCGGACTATATTAAGATATCCACCCCAACTCAGGGTTTCATCGGATCAAATCTGCCCCGGTCCACTTGGGTAAGGCTTAATCGTATACGTACCGGACATGGTAAATGTGCTGATTTGCTGTTCAGGTGGGGTCGTACAGAAAGTCCACAGTGCGATTGCAGACAATCTAGACAGACCATAAGCCATTGTGTTTCAGACTGCTTGAATCGTGCCTACCGTGGAAACCTCCAGGACTTTGCGGAATGTTCCCCAGAAGCAATTGAATGGCTATGTAAATTGGACATTAAAATTTAGTGTCATTCATTCTATCTTTAGTGTTTGAATAATATATTTAATATATATATATATATATATATATATATATATATATATATATATATGTATATATTATTGTATTTGTATATTTGTCGTACTGTGAAAATCCATGCGCTAAATAAATAAATAACCACTCTATAAGGAGAAAATAATGCTGCTAGGTTGAATTTTGAACTGACAAAACAAAATTATAAAAGGTATTTTTAATAATTTTTTTGTATTGTACTTTTACTTTAACCTTTCACTATTTTTTGCTCATATTTTTCACCTTGCACACTGAGCATAAATTACGCACTTTACGCTCTAATTTTGGAAGCCTGGAGTTAAAAATTATGAGGGTGGATAAAATTCAATAAAAACCTGGCAAGCAGTTTATACTCTCAGTTACAAATAGAGTACAGTAAAATTGTAAAAATAGATTTTTTATCACCTTAAATATTAACCCAACAGAATTACTGACTTCTCATAAGGAGTAGTTGACGGGTGAATAATTAGTAGTGTGGTAATAAATTCGTAAAAACCTACCAGAGCACTGTGGTATGTCATAAATATTTTTTTTTAGAAATCTACTGATTTTAATCATAAGTCAGCAGAATCGCTCCTTAAACTTAAATTATTAGGGTGATAATTTTTCGACTGTTCTAACAACCATTCAAATTTCGTCCTTTTGTGTCATGTTGAACAATTTCACCCAATCATGTCAACATTAGACTGATATTTGCATTCAGTGCAATTTTCAATCCCTATGACAACACGATCGAGTTTGACAATTTCATCCAAATAAATTTCAAAATGTCACGTTTCGGCAATGAGAATGTTATAAGTATAAATGCGCTAATTTTAATAATTGTACTTTCACTAACTGTACTTTTAATAAATAAATGTTTCGTTATGTTGAGATACGATTTTTTTTTTCGAAAAATTATCCGCCGAATATCCCTCGGACATTGATGAATGCCTCATAATTTCATGACAAATTTCTCAAGCTCGTTGCTTTACCAAGGAACGAGCTTTCGATTGTCATGAAATTATCTCGTCTGTTATCAATGTCCTAGGGATATTACTACTGATAATAAATTAGTGAAAAATGGCTTTAAAAATGTGTCATAGGCAAAAATTTTTTTTTTCGAATTCTGCTAGCTTGAATCTTGGGCCAGCAGTATCGCTACCCTTAAGGTTGGTTTGGTGGTGAAAAATTATTAGGGTGGTAATAAATTAGTGAAAAATGGGTAAAAAAATATTACGTAGGTTAAATTGGATTCAACTCATTTGTCCACACTAGCTTAAGGGTCCTTGTGATTTATAAAATTAGGTTAATTATAAAACATCATCTTTAAATTTGCTGTTGCTTATCACAATTATTTTGTAAGGCATACATCCATATGCAGATGAGATAAAACATGGTTCGTTTCACGGATTTTGTCTGATGAGTAAAATCATACTAAAAGAACTTTGAAAATAAGGCTATTATCGAGCACAAGTTAATTAAATCTAGCCCAAGTACTTTCGCTTAAAATAGCATCTTCAGGGGCATTTCGTCAAAATGTAAACTATCCGGCAAACGTAGAATGTGGAAACATTAAAAATAACATAAAATTGTACAAAACACTACACTAAAACGAGGACAAACAGTTTAAAATTACTTAAAGATTCTACGCTATATTCTCTGTAAGAACACATCTCTGTTCACTGACAGAGAATGTAGCGTAGAATCTTTAAGTAATTTTAAACTGTTTGTCCTCGTTTTAGTGTAGTGTTTTGTACAATTTTATGTTATTTTTAATGTTTCCACATTCTACGTTTGCCGGATAGTTTACATTTTGACGAAATGCCCCTGAAGATGCTATTTTAAGCGAAAGTACTTGGGCTAGATTTAATTAACTTGTGCTCGATAAGAGACTTGTTTTCAAAGTTCATTTATTCGAGCATTCAACCTCATTTCATTCATTCATACTAAAAGCACATTTAGAGTTCCATCTTTGTCAGATATAGGCAAGGTAGAACTTTAAACGTAAATGTAATTTTTTTTAATTCAGCACCTACGTAACTGCATTTGGTTTGAATACATGAATTGACGTGTCTAATTTCATTCATGTACGGCTTATTTTTAAAGGACTTCAGTTTAAATTTAGTAGTGGTATTGGATGTTGTCTAATATTGTCGGTAAATCTGTTTATCAGTACTCTGGAGGTCAATTATAATTAGGAATCATATAATAATTATTGACTTTTTCCATTCTCTTACTTAACTTGACATTTTTGGCATATAAATATTTATTTATTGTACGTATTTATAACTTACAATACAGTGAAATTATATTAATATAAAAAATATATTTCTCTGTGCGACTGGTAATTTGATGAAAGGTTTCATCTTACTTCAGTGATTTTCAATTTCAAATCGGTCAAAAAGTAAAAATATAATATTTATATTTAGTATGTTTTTTAGGGCTTTACTTTACTTTAATTTGCTGAAATGTATACTTTTATACGTCTGAGAAAAAAAATTCGAAAAATATAGAAATATGAGGTAAGATTTTAAATTACTCTATTAATATTCACTATAAATTTGTTTCGTTGGTACTTACGGTGTGATTAAAATATTTTAAAAATGAATATAATGCTACAAAAAAATGTTCCAATAAATGCCGTAATAAAATTTAAAACGGCTGGTGCGACAGATTTCACACTGACTGAATTGAGTAAGTATTTAGTCACCATCAGATCAGCGTGAGCCGTTCGAGATTGATCTTGAAAAAGTCAGTAATGAACCTCGGAGTTTTTTGTATTTAACACGTAAAACTATCTTAAATTGGACAGCCTGCTTTACGCATTAAAATAAAAATAATTCAGCATTACCAGTTTTTGTACTAATATAAATATCTTCTGCTTATGCTCTCTTGATTAGGAAACTTTATAAAAAAATAGTATTCAATTTTTAATAGGGATAGCCTTATAACTACTGTACCTTTTCCAATAAACTATAACTTATTCTACTTTAACTACTGCTTTTAGTTGTTATAATTAAAGTGCCAAATTAGTTAGTCTTACTAACATAGTAATATTAATCGAAATAATAAAGTTATTTTAATATTAAGATTTTATAATTATTTTTATTTTATTAGGCATGTGCATGTTTAAACAGTTATTTAATTTTCGTAGGTTAATCTGTACATAGATAGTAGTCTGGTAGACTATTTTTAAAAAGAAAAGTATTCATTTGCAGTTCAAACAAATTATCAGTGCAATATATCCCAACAAATAAAACGTATAATTGATGTGTACTATAATTTTTATCGCTAATTTAATTAATATTATATATAATAATTTATGTGAAATGTTCTAGAGACCAAACAAAACATAAATTATTGTAAAGAAAATTATTTCTATTTACTAATTGAGTTTACTGATTGAGTACTTTTGTGAAAGTGAATCTTCTCACTATAGTATAGAACTTCAATCACTAAAAGCTGATTAAATTTTTTAAGACTATTCAAAAATGATAATATTTTCACATTTAAATGATAGTGTTTTTGGGGCAACTTTAAATAGGGTACATATTTAAAAGTAAAAGGTAGTAAAAAATAGTTTTTGTCAATTACTAGGAGTTAACTTTGCTATTTTTTTGGCATATTGAATTGTGTATTATGTTTAAATACAATAAACTTTTCTTTTTAAAATAGTAAACAATTGATAAAATTTTGAATCATGACTTGGGTATTAAACAGCTTTAAAATTCCACAGGATTTCACCTTGGACTTTTACTTTCGACAATTCTGGACGGACCCAAGATTGGCTTTCCGGAAAAGGCCCAGCGTAGAGATCCTCTCCGTAGGTTCTGAATTCATCAAAAACATCTGGGTACCTGACACATTCTTTGTCAATGAGAAACACTCATCCTTCCACATGGCGACTACTTCCAATGAATTCATTCGAATACACCACTCAGGATCAATTACACGCAGTATTCGGTAAGTAGATATCTAACACGAGCTATGTTTGTATTTGACATTTGATATTTGATGTTTGTTCAAATATTTATAAGTAATCAATTTTATTAAGTTATTATAGACAAGTAATTCGCACCACGAATTTTAAAATATTTTAAAACCAGAATCAAAGTTCAAATATTCCCCAAACGCAAAACATATCTTCCTTGCCTCTTTACACTATCGACTAAACCGGATATCTATATTTTACTATTTACTCATGTTATAGAAAGTACTAATTTTCAACAAATGCCCCACGATCCTTTCTTAAACAAACGAAATCGCGTTAAAATTACCCCTTTACAGGCCCTAAATTATAAAAGCCAAAGTCTTCAATCACAGACATAGGAACCATCAAAGTAACTGACGATATAAAAAATTCAGCTAGACGAATATATGAAAATACTTCAGTAAAATATTTAATATCTTATGAAACATTAGTAGATATACTGGAAAATGCTTATGGTACCCTTTTCCCAATAAGCTTAATAAAAACTTATACACATGATCTAGAAAACCTATTGAAACTTTAAAATCAACTACTAAAAATTTATTAAATAGGAAATCAAACAATAAATGTACTAGACCTCGAAACAAAATACCTAAATCCATACAATCAGAAAATAACATAAAATTCGATAATGAAATTGTAAAAGATATATTAAGAACCTACGAGGATATTACACTCATCTTGAGATATTACAACAAATGATTAAACAACTTAATCCATCCATACTTTGTTTACAGGAAACCCCTTTTAAAAATACTTAAGTTTATAATTTAAAATACTTCATATGCACATATAAAAATAGAGAAAATGTAGACCATGCAGTCGCACAGCAATTTATAAATCAATACACAACTTGAAGCGGTCGCAATTACTATCAAAGGGCCTTCAGAAATGAACCTAATTCCACTTACACAAAACAGAAGCAATAATGAAATCTCAGATTTGATTAAACAAATACCTTCACCTTGTCTAACAGTTGGAGATTTTAATGCACATAATTTTAAATGGGGATTAAAAATAATTACTCCATTAGGTCGTAGAATCGAAATAATGTTGGACAAATTTCAGTTAAACCTACTAAACGATAAAAGAAATACTCATTTTAACATTTTTAATGGTAAATCCTCTGCCATAGATCGTTTAATATGTGATCTAGCATTATCAGCTACCTTATCATAAGATGTGTTTTCTGATTTAAATGATAGTGACCACTTTCCAATTGTAATAACAAATCCTGACAATACACATTACTCTTGTAATTTTAAAAAATGGAATATCAAAAATGCAAATTGGCAAGAGTATTATAATCTGGTTTTAAATGAAATGAATCACATACAATTTTACAATTAACTAATAATATTAATAGTCAAATTCAAAAGTTTTCCAATATATTATCAAATGCCACCGAAAAAGACGTTGGTATAATGAATTCCAAAGAATTAAATTCGAAAGTCCCTTGGTGGAATTCTAAATGTCAAGAAGCTATTAAACTTTTAAAAACAGCATAAAACCGATTCAGTAAATATAATACACTTGAAAATAAATTTGAATTCAAACGACTAAAAGCACGAGCTAGATTTATCATTAAAAGAAGTAAACGAGAATCATGGAAAAAGTTTGTTTTAAAATTAAATTCATCTACACCAATTAATAAAGTGTGGCAAATGGTATGAAAGATATCCGGGAAAAATACCTCAAATCACATTAACTTCTTAGAAGATAAACACAAAATATACAGTTCCCTTTTAGGCATAGCCAATATTCTAATAGTTTTGAAAGATTCTCAAGCGATGATCTTCTTTCTCCAGATTTTTTGACCATAAAAAAAAGGGAAGAATCCAAGGGTATTGATATACCATCTGATGACCTTTCTCCTTTAATTTATCCTATAACCATGGATGAATTAGAGAACATACTGAATAATACGAAAAACTCTTCTCCCGATCCTGATAACATCCCTGCAATATTTCTTCAAACCTTTATCTGCAAAGAAACACTTGCTGAATATCTATAACAATATACGGAGACATAGCAACTTTCCAAAATTCTCGTGTTTGTCTATAGTCATCCCTGTTTATAAACAAAATCAACCAAAATCTCTGTCACATTCATATAGACCTATTTCTCTAACTTGTGTAATGTGTACACTGTACAGTTCTCGAGAAAATCATATCCAACGGATTAATGTGGTTTTTAGAAAATAATAAATTACTTGCTCCGGAACACAGCGGATTGTGGAAAAATCGTTCAACATGGATAATCATTTTAGTTTAGAGTCTGAGATTCATGAAGCAATGGCATGTGGACAAAAATGTATCGCAGTATTTTTTGACATAACTAGAGCATACGATACAGTTTGGCGACATGGTATTATTCAAACACTTATTGGATTGCGAATAAAAGGTAATATAAAACAATTTATAAAAAATTTCGTAAATTATCGATCTTTTATTGTAGGAGTTAACGGTAGTTTATCTAATACAAAAATTCAAAAAGAACGGAATTCCCCAAGAGTCTATTTTAAGCGTCTCCCTATTTATTATTGCAGTAAATAATATTATTTCCACTTTTGACTTACCAGTAAAAACTAGACTCTGTGCAGATGATTTCATAATTTTTGTTAAGGGGATAAATGATAAAACCCTTCAGAGCCATTCACAGAAAATGCTATGAGATCTCGAACTATGGACAAATTCCACAGGTCTTCAATTATCAACAACAAAATCAAAGACAAACAAAATCAAGAAAATGTTATTTTCAAAAAAAAAAGAAGTTATATCACTCCAGAATTAAAACTATTTAATAAAGAAATCAAATATGTTGAGAAAATTATAAAAACTGTTTCACACAACACACAGGGAGCAGATAGTACAACACTGACCCTTATGTACAAGTCATTGATCAGGTCCAAACTCGATTACGCTTGCATTATTTATGATTCAGCAAAACCATATACCTATCATAAAACAACTCGATCGAATACAAAATATTGCTTTGCGAAACATACTAGGTGCCTTTTATACTAGCCCTACTGAAAGTTTACACTGTGAAGCTGGAGAAGTCCCTCTGGAAATCCAGAAACAGAAAACAACTTTTACTAACATACGCGGCATTAATATAGGCAAATTCTATAATGTCCCTTAACCACTATGTAAATTCAGACCGTTTTAGGAATATCTTTAAAACAAATGCTAGGCTTAACCTTAGTTTTATGAAAGGGTAAATAGATACCTCCATGAACTTGAATTCAAATTTGCAGATACCTATTTTATACTAAATATTAACACTGTTTCCCCTTGGACTGTTCCCATCCCATCTATTAATACCAAACTCTTCATATATAAAAAAGCAAATAATCATCCCAAAGCATTATATTAATATGTCCTTCAAGAACTCAAGACATACAGTAACCATAATCTTATATATACCGATGCTTCTAAAACTATAGATAGAGTAGGAGCAGCATTTATGTCCAATAAGACAAAAATAATAATGAAACTCCCCAAATTAACATCCATTTACACAGCCCAGTTAACCACTATTCTCAATGCAATAAATTTTGTGGTAGAAAATAGTATCAAAAACCTTGTCATTATTACGGATTGCCTAAGTTATGTAGTTGCCCTAAATAACTTATATTCTCGTCATTCAAGTCCACTACTTATTAAATCAGCAATAAACCAACTGCAAATTATGAACATAAATGTTAACTTTGTATGGATTCCTTCCCATATAGTAATTGCTGGTAATGAAGAAGTAGATTCGTGGCAAAACTAGCAATCTCGAGTCCGGAAGCTGTAGAAATCAGAAGCATTCCAAATCTAGATATAAAACATATAATCAAGAACTTAATAATCAATGATTAGCAAACCACGTGGAATTAGTCAACATCCAAACTACGAGAAGTACATTCTATATTACATTGGAACTCAACCCCAAATAAGAGAGAATAGTCCACACCGCAATCACCCATATACATCTGCTGGAGAGTGAATTAAAATCTTCAATATATTACACTAAATCTTCAATATATATATACTTCAATATAAATTACAAGATACCTTACAGGCAATATTAAGTGACGGAACTGATGACAAATTTGACATCATACTTATATTCCATAACAATAAAACACTGAAAACTTCGTTTTCAAACTTCCACAAAATTTATTTTTAATCTTATCACTATAGCTGTTTCGGCTGATAGCCTTTCTCAAGTGAAGCCACTTCACTTGAGAAAGGCCGAAACAGCTGTAGTGATAAGATTAAAAATAAATTTCGTGGAAGTTTGAAAACAAAGTTTTCAGTGTTTTATTGTTACATAAAATGAATTTCCATCAAGTAACGGTCGAATCCATCAATTATATTCCATAAATGTACTAAATAAATTGTACAACGTCAATGGCCCTATGAGGTTGAGATATCAATTAATAAAAATAAAAGTTCAAACATGATAGGCAAGTAATAATATTTCTAAAATATTTCAATAATATAAATAAAAAAATAAGTAGCATTTAAGATCTTACGTCAAATCATAAAAAAACAATGGAGCACGGTAATGGTATATAGTGATTAATGATAATGAATGGTTAATTGTGATATTTACCATGTGGCAATAAAACAAATCAAAGAAGTAGTCTTCATCTAACAATAAAACGCTAATAATTTGGTTTAAAACTTTTACATGTATTATAATTTATTATCATTCGAGCGTTTCGGCAGAGTGTCGTTCTCAAGTGATCAATTTTTGGTAGGCGTTTACAAGTTATAGTCTTCTACTGAATGAATTAAGAAAATGAGAACTGTTTGTCTCAAGTTAGTCATTTAAAATTATGTCTGTATTTTTTAAATTGTTAATTTCCATAGATTTTAATAACAATAGCCAAAGGTCTTTATTTTGAATGTAAATACTTTTAAATTAGTCATTTAAAGAAAAATTATAGTCTAGTCTCTGTTTGCCTATTATTCAAAGC